TGAACTGGGCCAGAACAAGTTTTAATAGTGCTACCCAATCTCAGCCTTCAGTAAACCACATAGAGACCAGCCTTTAACCAGAAACCCCAAAACTGAGCCATAAAAAAGCCAAAAAAACAACAACAACTCAGCCACGGCTCCATCGATAGGCAGTAAAACACACAGCTACACCTTTAGACAATTAAGCATCTGTGATTCACACTTCTTTAGATTGTGAGGGAAAGAGTTTCTGGCTCAGCTGGGACTCAAACCAGAGATCTTCTTGCTGTGAAGAGACAGCATTTCCCACTGAGCCACTTATGCTGCGCTTAGCCACAGACATTACATACAGACACTTGTGCAATAATAATACATAAAAAACTGAAACGTTTTCATGATTGTATGTATATAAAATAATAAAAAAACGTTTACAGGTACAAAACTCTGTTTGGATAGATGCTGAAATGTACAACATACACTGCAAAATCCTCAGTGAACACTGCACACAATGTTAAAAGAAACACGAAAGTAGTGTTGAAGTTCACGAGATGAATGATCAAATTAAATGATCAAATAAGCATTTGGTAAAATCAACTGAAATAAAACACATTAAATCTCTGAAGATCTCAGCAGAGGATGTTTAAACAACTCCACAAGCAGCATCACCTGCTTCACTTATTACTAACCAGACTGACTTTATTTCTGTCAGCCATCTAGAGAAGCTCTTATTGAGAATTAATAGAGGTTTAGATGTTGATATTTGTTTCATTTGAAGTCACCATTGTGGTGGTCAATGTTTGCTTTCGTTGGGATCTTGGTCCCTGTACTTTTTCTTTCAGCTTTTTTTCAGCTGCTGTAACCGTGTTTGGAAAGCACAGTTCTTGTGACAAAGTAAGCCAAGATCAGGTACTATCTCCGTATCTTGTTGGTGATGATGAAATCATAACAAAGTGTGTATCGAATAACTTCAAAATCTCATCAGTAGTTGTAATTGTGTTTTGTTTATAATTTTGTTCATCTTTGGCATTTATAGCCACCAACCTTGTAAAACTGCAGTATCAGCACTAAAAGCATTAAAATGATCACACATCCTGAAGACAGACATCAAGATTTTGCATATGAATCACAACAACGGTGACAATCAAAACAAAAAAGCTTCATGTTGTGCAATGCATGATGGGTGGCTTCATCGTACAAAACTTGATTCTTCCTTAATTCCACATCCTGGATTCCCAAGCTTGTTTGGTTTTGATTGTAACCACTGTGGTGATTCATAAGCAAAATCTTGATGTCTGTGTGTGACCACATGATGTACTTGCTCAAAATAGCATTTTACCCACTTTCAGAATATGTGATTATACCATTAAAAACAAAAAACCATTAGAACTACTGATGAGATTTTAAAATTATTAGATACACACTTTGTTATGATTTCATCATCACCAACAAGATAGGGAGATAGTACCTGATCTTGGCTTGCTCTGTCTCAAGAACTGTGCTTTCCAAACACAGTTACAGCAGTTGAAGAAAAGCTGACACAAGAAGTACAAGGGACCAAGATCCCAACTAAAGCAAACACTGACCACCACAATGGTGACTTCAAATGAAACAAATATCAACATCTAAACCTCTATTAATTCTCAATAAGAGCTTCTCTAGATGGCTGACAGAAATAAAGTCAGTCTGGTTAGTAATAAGTGAAGCAGGTGATGCTGCTTGTGGAGTTGTTTAAACATCCTCTGCTGAGATCTTCAGAGATTTAATGTGTTTTATTTCAGTTGATTTTACCAAATGCTTATTTGATCATTTAATTTGATCATTCATCTCGTGAACTTCAACACTACTTTCGTGTTTCTTTTAACATTGTGTGCAGTGTTCACTGAGGATTTTGCTGTGTATGTTCTACATTTCAGCATCTACCCAAAAAGAGTTTTGTACCTGTAAATGTTTTTTATTAAACTATTATATTATATACATACAATCATGAAAAAAGTGTAGCAATTTTTTTTTATGCATTATTATTCCACAAGTGTCTGTATTTTATGTCGGTGGCTAAGCGCAGCATAAGTGGCTCAGTGGGAAATGCTGTCTCCTCACAGCAAGAAGATCTGTGGTTCAATTTCCAGCTGAGCCAGAAAGTCTTTCCCTCACAATCTAAAGATGTGTGAACTACAAACGCTTATTTGTCTAAAGGTGTAGCTGTGTGTTTTACTGCCTATTGATGGATCCGTGGCTGAGTTGTTTTGTGAGTGTTTTTTTTGTGTGGCTTTTTTATGGCTCAGTTCTGGGGTTTCTGGTTATGAGCCATATCTGTAGTCCAGATCTGGGCCACGAGGGCTGTAATTCTTTGCTGCATGTGGGCCGAGTGAAACGGGTTCAAAAGTAGACTCAACCACTGAATTCAGAGACACATTTTGCTCAGGTGACAAAACTGGTCTTTCAATCAACGCAACACTTTTCGAAGGGTTCGCTTTTCTACTAAATTTTAAGGTTTCAACGTGGGACAATTTGCGATGAGGTGCACAACCTCATGACAATAAAAGCATTCACGGTTCTCACTACTGTCTGCACTCGAAATGTTCTTAGGTACTACTGTGGCATCCTTAGAACTACGAACTCGATCAAGGAATTTACACGTTGTGGGTGAAAACACTACTTTGTGCGTAAGTACAAATTCATCAGAAAAAACTGCAGCCTCAGAAAGAGATGACACTTTCTGTTCATTTAAGTAAACCGTGATTTTCTCTGGTAAACAACTATTAAACTCCTCCAACAGTAATAACTATTTAAGCTGCTCAAACGTGTCTACTTTGTTTGCAGCGCACCACTTGTCAAACAAATTAGCTCTGGCGAATTCAACAAACGTTTGACTAGGGGTTTTCACAAGACTGCAGAACTTTTGCCGGTATGCTTCAGGAACTAGCTCATAAGCACGCAAAACGGAATTCTTCATTACATCATAATCCAAGCTCTGCTCAAGCGTTAATGCTGAGCAGACTTCTTGGGCTTTACCGACGAGTTTGCATTGCAGCAACAGTGGCCAAACATTCCGCGGCCATTTTAACGTGGCAGTGATTCGCTCAAACACGGTGAAATAAGTGTCAACCTAGCTCTCTCGAAACAGTGGCACTAGTGCAATTTGGCGGCTAATATCAAATTCAGGTTGACTTACTTGTGGGTTGCGTCGAGGTGCAGGAGTGGGACTTGGAGTGGAAGCACTGATGGGTGACGACACAGACACGCTCACACTAGGCGCATCACCAGCTGAGGGCACTTGACCACTTACGCATCAATACATCATCCTCAAAGTAGTATGCCACTGGATGGTCTGACAAATCAGTCAGCTCAACAGCGGCTTCAACACAATGAGTCAAAGTTTGATCAGCACGTTGTGCCTCAATTAACATGGGTTTACCAATGAGTAAATCAACACCTGGAAGGGCACACACATCTACCTCAACTGTACCAACATCTTTCTTTGCATTAACAGAATTGTCAGCACACATAAACAAATCAGACAGATCCACCGTATCCCTAAATTTGCGTGCTTGAGCTCGGGTCACAATGCATGTGCCAAACACATCAGGAAACTCTTCATGCAGCACATCACCGTTCTGCACAACAGGGGTATCGATTACCTCAGGCAGACAAAAAAAAACTTTATCACCTGCCAGATCATTCCCAAGAATGAGCGACACACCTTTAACAGGTAACTGTTTAACATTCCCTGAAATGATCCCAGAGTGTAGAAACACTTGGTGTAAAGGAACTTTAACTACTGTGAGATCAATACCTTGCACCAGCACATTGGAACCACAGCTTGACTGTTCAGAGAATGGCAACACACTTTGTAGGATAAACGATCGGGCAGCGCCAGTATCACGGAGGATGCGAATATGCTGCAACTCAGACTGGGCTTCACTCAGTGATACTACACAGTCACAAATGAAGGGTTCAAAAGTAGACTCAACCACTGAATTCAGAGACACATTTTGCTCAGGTGACAAAACTGGTCTTTCAATCAACGCAACACTTTTTGAAGAGTTCGCTTTTCTACTAACTTTACGTTTCAAGGTGGGACAATTTGCGATGAGGTGCCCAACCTCATGACAATAAAAGCATGCTCACACTAGGCGCATCACCAGCTGAGGAGTGAACAGGTGATTTAGTTTTGAGCTCAAGCTCCAACTCTTTGAGCTTGATTGCTCGCTTAGTTTCATGCAGCAGCTGACTTTGATATTGTAGCTGACTTTGATATTGTTGCCTGCTCAACTCCAACTCTAACTCTTTTAGTTTGATTGCCAACCGAGGATCGCTCGGAGAAGGGAGATCAACGGGATCTATGCTGGCCATCTCCTCGGGTTTGGGATGCTCCGCCCCCTTACCCACGGAAACTGGCAACTGATCTGCAACACCCGCTTCAGTCACCTCCGACAAAACTCCCTGCTCCACCAAATGCTTATAGATCACATCCTTGATTTCTCGCTTCACTGCACCACGAGGATCTGTAATTTGATATAAATCAGCAACTGAAAACAGAACATCTTTGCAACAAATGTCCAATTATTCAGCAGTAGGACTCTTTGAGCTTGATTGCTCGCTTAGTTTCATGCAGCAGCTGACTTTGATATTGTTGCCTGCTCAACTCCAACTCTTAACTCTTTTAGTTTTATTGCCATCCGAGGATCGCTCGGAGAAGGGAGATCAACGGGATCTATGCTGGCCATCTCCTTGGGTTTGGGATGCTCCGCCCCCTTACCCACGGAAACTGGCAACTGATCTGCAACACCTGCTTCACTCACCTCCGACAAAACTCCCTGCTCCACCAAATGCTTATAGATCACATCCTTGATTTCTCGCTTCACTGCACCACAAGTTTTTTTTACAGTCTAAAAAAAAAACACCTCAGTAATGTATAAACCGACAAGTTGCATTGTAATGTAATAATATTTCCTTTCTTTCTGTCTTACAGGATTTACTTGCAGATAAAGCTGTCCTTCTCCATCATGCACATGCGCTCACCTCTTTAACTCGTTATCCACCACACATACAGAAATGCTACCTGGATCAATATTAAGACTTTGCAGTGGTTTGTTTTTTGCAGAAGTTGCAACTTTGTTTTAATTATAAGCTTATAATGAATACATTACATCCATCCCCTAGTTACAGTCAGTCAGATACAGGTAGTTCCCAGTATCACTTTTTGGTTAATTTAATTTGTAAGAAAATGTATACTGTATTTTATTTTTTATAAAAGCATTTTCATACTGAAAATAGTTAACATTTACAATTATAATTATTACTAACAATTTTATTTTGCTTTGCATTTAGTCACAATAAAAGTGAAAAATAATGACAATGTATTAAAGTTAAAGGGTTACTCCACCCCAAAATGAAAATTTTGTCATTAATCACTTACCCCCATGTTGTTCCTAACCCATAAAAGCTTCGTTTGTCTTCGGAATACAATTTAAGATATTTTGGATGAAAACTGGGAGGCTTGTGAATGTCCCATTGACAGCCAAGTAAATAACACTGTCAAGGCCCAGAAAAGTATGAAAGGCATCGTCAAAATAGTCCATCTGCCATCAATGGTTCAATCTGAATTTCATGAAGCAACGAGAATACTTTTTGTATGCAAAGAAAACAAAAATAACGACTTTATTTAACAATTTGTCTTCTCCGTGCCACCGTAGTGCCATTTTGGAGAGTATCCACTGAATGTAAACTGCGTATATTGTTCTACTTGTCTGTGTCAGCCGCACCACACCAACAGCATACGCAGGTGACGCGGAGGACACAAATTGTTGAATAAAGTCGTTATTTTTGTTTTCTTTGTGTACAAAAAGTATCCTATGAAAAAGTGGAATCTATCGGTTAAGATTAGATGGGATACAGCTGCGGCTACTGGGCATGCGCACATCAATATTGCGGAAATGTTGTCACACTGAACAACAATTACTGTATTTGCATTATTGTAGGGATAGGTTTAAATTTGGGGTAAGTGTAGACATTAAAAAATACAATTTAATATGTAGCAAACTTAATTTATCGTTAACCGAACGTATCCCTTCAGCCGAAAAACGGAAGAAATCTGTCATAAATGACCATAAATGGACAAAGAAGTGTGACGCCGCTGTTCAGCTGGGATGTCATTGGCTGTGAATTTCCCTTGTCACCCGCAGGACTGTCTGTGGTTGGACTATCTTTTAAACCATATTAAACAGTGCATCGTGTTAAAAAAAGACATGTGCAGGCCCATAGGAAAGAACAATCAAAAGTGAGATCTCTTTAACATCTCAAATATTTCTCCTAGACAGAAATGAGGTTACTTTAAGATCGAATGGAGATTTTTGCTTGAGTCTCCTGCTTCTCAAACTTGTCTCCTGAGACAAAAACTCTAACAATCTCACAATGGTCTCCTTTAAAGCTTTAAAATAGATCTCAACAATCAACAACATTACACACTGTGCTCAGATTTTCTCTGTAGCTAAAGACTCTGGTGGTCTCACATTTGTCTCCTTTAAAGCTTCAGACGAGATCACAACAAAATCACACTCTATGCTCAGATATTTCTCCTTAGCTAGACTCTGGATCTCACACATTTGCCTCCTCAAAAGTTTAGAAGAGATCTCAACAACATCACACTCTGTGCTTAGATTTTTCTCTTTAGCTAAATAATCTGGGGGCCTCATATTTGTCTCTTGTAATGCTTTAGAAGAGATCTCAACAACTTTACAAAGTGTGCATCAAGTCAAGTACTTGAAAGACACTAATTAAAGGGGGGAAATCATAAATTCAGAGTTAAAGGCTATATTGAGAGAGAAATTATGCAGAAATAAGGATAATATTACTTTTTATAGGACAATGTTTATGTACTTAGGCACATAATTTGTTGTTGGAAATAGTAATGTAGCAGATGCCTTAATCAAAACTGATCTATAGAAAATGTAACCCTGGAGCTTTCTTTGCTGAAAGGCACATAAATGGCTTATGACGAAGTCTTGATTATTAATGGACTAATTTGATTATTAATACATATTATATGGAATAAATGTTTGAGCTCATATTGAGGCATTTGACTTGGTGCACACTTTGTAAAGTTATTGAGATCACTTCTGAAATTTAGAGGAGACAAATGGGAGAGCTCTCGAGTCTTTAGCTAAGGAGAAAAATCTGAGCACACTGTGTAATGTTGTTGAGACCTCTTCTAAACTTTTGAGGAGACAAATGTGAGAGATCCAGAGTCTAGCTAAGGAGAAATATCTGAGCACAGTGTGTGATGTTGTTGAGATCTCTTCTAAATCTTTAAAAGAGACAAATGTGAGCGATCCAGAGTCTAGCTAAGAAGAAATATCTGAGCACAGTGTGTGATGTTGTTGAGATCTCTTCTACGGTCGGACCAGCACCGGACCACATTCATCCTCCTCCATCACCAGCAGGCAGCAGCGGGCGGTTCGAGTGTCAACAACGGCCCTACTCACGCACCCTCTGCCAAACTGTGGAACCAGGTAAGCGTTGCATCGCACACTCAGACCCCTCTTCGATCCGCTCACAAGCCGCCCGAGTTTGGTCCCTGCGTTCCACCTTGCTGTCCCACTGCGGGTACGGTGGTGGTTCCACTGGTCCCGCCTGCACGGTATCTGGGTGCCTGGCTAGCGTTACCCAACCCGTCTCGTTGGCATCTGCGGACCATCAGCCTCCGCTATGCGAATCAGTTCGCCCGGCATCCCCCCAAGTTCAGTGGCATCCGCTTCACGACAGTGAAGGCGGCCGATGCTCCTGTCTTGCATGCAGAGATCGCAGTCCTACTGGCGAAGGATGCGATAGAGCCAGTCCCTCCAGCCGATATGAATACAGGGTTTTATAGGCCTTACTTCATTGTACCCGAGAAAGGTGGTGGGTTACGACCAATCACCATTTCTGCTGTTCGCGCTTGAAGGACGAGCATATCAGTACGAGGTCCTGCCCTCCGGGCTGTCCCTGTCGCCCCGTGTCTTCACGTAAGTTGCGAAGGCAGCCTTTGTTCCCCTGAGAGAACAGGGCATTCGCATTCCCAACTACCTCAACGGCTGGCTCATACTAGCTCAGTCTCAGCATCAGTTGTGTGCACACAGGGACTTGGTGTATGTGAGACCGCTCCAGCACTGGCTTCATGGCCGAGTCTTGAAGTGGGCGTGGCAGCGCGGCACTTACCGAGCCCAAGTTACACCGGCCTCTCGCCAAACCTTCACCCCGTGGTCAGAACTTACATTCCTCCGGGCAGGAGTGCCCCTAGATCAGGTCTCCAGGCATGCTGTGGTTTACACGGATGCCTCCACCACCGGCTGGGGGGCCACGTACAATGGGTACACAGTGTCGGGGGTATGGACGGGCCCCCAACTGCACTGGCATGTCAATTGCCTACAGTTGTTAGCAGTGCGCCTTGCCTTGAACCATCTCAAAGGGTGTTTCGAGGCAAGCACGTGCTGGTCCGAACGGGACAACATGGCGACCGTTGCTTACATCAACCGACAAAGTGGTCTGCGCTCCCGTCGCATGTCGCAACTCACCCGCCACCTCCTCCTTTAGCGTCAGAAAGTTCTGAGATCACTTCGTGCCATTCACATGCCGGGTCTGCTCAACCGTACGGCCGACGAGCAGTCACGAGCTACGCTCCTAGGAGAATGGAGACTCCATCCACAGACGGCCCAGCTGTTTTGGAGACGTTTCGGAGCCGCTCAGGTAGACCTGTTTGCCTCTCCAGAAACCTCTCACTGCCAGTTGTTCTACTCCCTGACCGAGGGAACACTGGTACACAGCTGGCCACGGGGCCTGCGTAAGTATGCGTTTCCCCCAGTGAGCCTTCTCGCAAAGACGCTGTGCAAGGTCAGGGAGGTATACCCTGTTGGAACCTGTCTCTAGTGCTCAAAGCACTACAGCAGGGCCCATTTGAGCCTTTGCAGTCAGTTGAGCTAAAGTTTCTTTCAATGAAAACTCTGCTCCTGCTTGCACTGGCTTCCATCAAGAGGGTAGGGGACCAGCACGCATTTTCGGTCGACGATTCGTGCCTAGAGTTTGGGCTGGCTGACTCCCAGGTAATCCTGAGGCCCCGGCCTAGCTATGTGCCCAAGGTTCCCACTACTCCCTTCAGGGATCAGGTGGTAAATTAAAAATGAAACACCCAAAACTGTATATGGCAACATCACGAAGACAAACTATATGTTTATACGTGAAATTCTGAAGGGGACGTCAGATGGCGTCACGTGAGGATGTAATGACGTGTGCCATTAATCGATCTATGTACTATGACATGTAAAATGGGAACATGAAAGGAATATTCTTAAAGCAACTCATGTAAACACTTTAATCATAATATTGTCTTATTTAGAATAAGGTAAATGATTAGATTACTGATGTCCATGTAAACATAGTCAGTGGTAAATGTGCTTGACCGTTCAGCAGTTTTTGACGTCTTGGGAGTGAGAATGTATTGGCGAGCAAAAAAACAATAGATAAAAAAAATGGATAATAGAAAATGAAAAGGCCACACTGAAAATGCCAGTACAAAAAAACAAAACAAAGTGGCCCGGTCTAAGGCATCAAACTCCAGGGCTGAAAATGAGTCCCACTCCACCCTGGTCCTGAGGTATCAAATTAGACAGATATGAAAAATTTCCCTTGAGCACACACATTTTTCTTACATTTTTATAAGCTATTTCTCAGCAGCAGAATGTCCAAATGAAACTTTTTTTTTTAGGATCATATATATATATATATATTTTTGTATGACATTAAAAAAATGTTTTAGAATAATTGTACATAAATGGGTTAAGCAAAACAAATGTGATTATTTCAGAGAACTTTTTAACTGCAGGCAGATATAGGCCTACATTATTGTACGGTACAAATATTTGGATCGTCCCTTATTCTGTCCCTTATTTTCTACAAGAATAAACACTTATTTTCTACAAGAATAAACACTATTTTCTTAAAGAATAAAAGATAAAGAATCACAATTAGACCTTATTTTCCATTTATGAAGTTAATTGGCAACCCTAATGATGATGTAATTATCTTTTGACTCCTCTGATAGTGGCACCTTGCTCAAAAAAACAAAAACCTCAGTTGTAGGAGATAAGCGAGCGAATAATAGATTAAAAAAAAAAAAGAAAAAAGTGGGCCGGTCTAAGGCATGAAACTCCAGGGCTGAAAATGAGTCCCACTCCAGCCCTGTGATGTACTATAAGATTTTGGTCATATCTCCTCTCCTATTCCCATTCACTTGGTGTTCTATGGCACACAGAACCAAGCAGAATGCATGGTAAATTAACACAGGATCATTACAGAAATAAAATTCAAGGTGACTCGACTAATGCATTTTTGAGTAATAGAAAGAAGTGCATTTATTTCAGTTCATTATGTTTACATAATTGCATAGTTATTATGTGGATTTATAGTGATGCTGTGCATTTATCGGAAGCTGACACTCTGATTTACTATTTGATTCATTATTTGGGCATGGGTGTTTGGTGCACTGTGAGAATACCACAGTATGTACCGTGGGTGGTGTATCGCTGTTTTTTGGTTCAGTTTGAATATTTTTGCTGAGCAATACAGTGTCGCTGATGAGCTGATCAGGTCCAGCTGTTGCTCATCAGCTCCTCTATTTAGAGTGGCTATGTTTCTTCTGTCTTTGTCAGCTCATTGTGTTTTTTTTGTGCATTGTTTTTTGTGCAATTTTTCCTCAGCTGTACTGTTCCTGCAGGGCCGCTGCTGGTCAAATGGGTGCCCTAAGAAGGATTGTATTATTGTGCCCCCCTCCCTCAAATATTATGGAAGTAAAAAAAACGCCACCTACTATAGGGGTCAAAATAGAACTTTAATAAAATATAAAAGTAAATAAATAAATAAATGTTATTATTTACAAATTACAAATCTAGACAGTTACCTATGGCTATGATTTTATTAATACAGTTGTCTGATTGATTTTATAGTCTGAAGCATTCAGAAATCATGCAAAAGAAAATTAAGCAGGTTTACTATCATAAAACCACGGTTAATTTTTGCAAGGGTTGTTATGTCCACATGTTTTTTGTTGAAGAAATTATAGAGGCTGTGTCATCTTATATATAGCAAAAAGGTGGCCAAAAATTAAAGATTAAGTGGATAGTTTAATTAAATGTGTGGTCAATAGCCTATTAAACAAGGATTTGATTGTCCTGTAAGTGTTAAGGGAACATGGAAACTCAGAGAGAATATTAGATTCGTTGGTGGTGGTGAAATTTGAACAACGTTGAAAACGTCAACAGCCAAAAAAGTTTCACAGGCTTATGAATGTGCCTGAAAGTGATGCATGAGCATTTTTTTCTTCTCTCGGCACCGGATTGCTGATGTCTTTTCACGGGCATAGTTGTCCATCAATTATGATCATTTGCATTCAGCCTCAAACATGAGGTGCGAGCGGCCGTGAGCACGGTTGCGGGAATGGCGCTTGGCGTGTCACGGGTTTTTTTTTTGTTTTTTTTTGAGCAACTGGGATGGTGCCCCCCCAGGAGTTGGTGCCCTATGCAAACTGCGTACTCTGCATATAGGGAGCGGCGGTACTGTGTTTCTGTGTTCTGGTTCCTGCTCCTGTTTGGATTACCTTGCCGTTTCTATTCTGGGCTAATTTCACTGGACTTTCTGGATTATGTTTCCCTGCATTGCCAAAGATTTTCCAGCTAGCTGCACCCACAACATCTGACTTGCATCTGGTTTGTTGCTTATTTAATTGAATTTGTGACTGAATTTAAAGATGAAAACTACTCACAAAGTTTTAAGTGTAAAGGCCTCCTCAGACCAAGACAAATTTGATTTGGTTCAACATGAAATGTTGTGTTGATCAATGTGACATGGCACTAAAACTTAAAACTCCTTACTTCAAACTATTTTCCCTTCCTCTTTCACAGCTTCCTCTTTTTTTCAGCACACATTAAAAGTACAACTGCCAAACTGTGATTGGTTGTGGTCAGCGCATGCTGATGACATTTTATTCTTCAATGGTAACTACAAGTCACTAGGTCAGTGGTTCTCAACCTTTTTTTCCACTGGGCCACACTATGGTCCAAGTGCAAGTCTCACGGGCCGCACACATATCATTTACATATTACATCACCAATACAAACCAACCAGATTTCTAATATTATAGCCTAAATATTATTATATCTAATTGATTACATTCATTGAAATAGATAAATAAATAATTCTACTCCCCATTAATAAAAGACCTGATGCTGTGAGGTGCTGACCGGAAAGGAGTAACAGAACAATGAAGTTGTGATTGTAATTTGTAGTCTGTAACACGCGCGACATTGCAGAAAATGTGCATTCACAAATGTAGCCTATGTTGATCCAAATATGGAAAGCACTTTCAAATGTAATAATCTGAGGTTCTCTCCAGAGATGTTTAGCCTCATTTCTGCAATTAAGGGTGATTGCTGCATAGTATGGGTGTTTCCTTTTGCCTGAACATCTTCAAGTGAGTAGCGGGGCAAACCGAAAGTTGATGCCGAAAGTCCAGCACTCTCCTAACCTTCACTGCTGATACTGAGACGATTCTTGTTTGAATGTGTTCCTTCGCTGGCATTTTCCACATTTCGTTTTTGTCCCTTAATAACAAATTTGTCCATTCTGATGCTTAAATTTACCGAACTATTGCTGCTGATGACTATTTGAATTGAATTCTGCCAAAGTGCGCGCTTGTAAGTGTTCGTTAAATGTGTAACGTTAATTACGTGAGTACAGGTCTGCTCATGTCTGAAAATAATATATGAAAAACAAAATATTTTACATAAAAACATTATAGATTATATTTGTTTAGTACATTTGTAACTTAATGTCAAAACTAAAATGAATTGTGCGGATGCGCATGCGGCCCGCAGGTTGAGAATCACTGCACTAGGTGTTATCATCATATAGTCTACATGCATGCCATACCCAAGTTGATTAAATCCATGTTGCAGTGTGATTTGCAATGATTTTATAGGATTGCTAAAATTGTGCAGTCTGTAGAAGTCTTTAGACCCAGAACTGCTGATCAGTCTGCACCATACCACTTCAAGCTGGTGGCAGTCAGGTGGTATAGCAGTCACGTCATGTGGTCCAAGTCATATTTCTCAGAACATTCCCAGCTTACAAGTTGTAATTATGAGTTATGCATGCAAGTAAACACTTAACGTTGATCGTATTGCCATAGAAACACATAATTCAACTCCAAGTAGAACTTGACATGTTGTCATCTCAAAATTACGGTAATAACAACATGGCATGAACAAAGATTTTGTTTCACCTCAAGCGATTAAAAAATGTGATAAAAATACTTGCAAGTCAGACTCAAACATTTAATGTCATGATTGTTACCATCTATTTGCATCAGTTTTTATCCAGCTGGTCACTTTTATGCATTTAGCCAGCCAAGCGAGAGCAGGGTTCCTACAAGTATGGAAAAGTATGGAATTTGGTTTGAGTATTTTTCAGGTGTGGAAAAGTATAGAAACAAAAGAAAACGTATGAAAACAACGCTGTTTTAATGACTTTAGAATAATTTGATTGCATTTAATAAAACATAACATGCACATAAAAGGTTTAAACCTGTGTACATACATTTCCTTCTTCTTCTTCTTTTTTTTTCTTTCTTTTTTAAGATTTAATTTTGGCATTTTTGCCTTTATTATGATAGGACAGTACTCAGACAGGAAGAGTGGGAGAAAGGGGGAGGGGATTGAACTCTGCGTGGATCCCCAAAGAGCAACAGTGCTAAACTGTATGTCGGCAACAAATTTCCATTTCTTGTTAAGTAAATGCCCCCCATTTAGTTTTGATTAGGAAGTAAACAATGCAGGTCAAGAATATGGCTTTCATGGAGATGGACATTGAGAGTGCTGACCCAGAAGAGTCAGAAAGACTTGACAGTAGCACTGCCATTCATTACTCATGATAACATGGGAACCTATCATTTCAGAGGACAGAAATGTATTCTTTCTGTGAGTTTAAGCAGCAATGTTGAACCCTTTCCCATTTTTATGAAAGCCATTCACAGTATGCAAAAGCACAAAGCCTGTGATTTTGCTTAAGGGTATTCTGTTTATTATTTACAAAGAGAAGACTTTCAGATATTATATGTTGTTTTCTTCAAGTTCGGTTCTCAGAAAGCAAAGGCTTTTTTCCCCGCTGCATGAGTATTACTAAGCTTAAAGAACTGTAGATGACTATTTCCTCATCATTTGTTTCTTTGTGTTTTTTTCTGGTTTTAACAAAATTATGTAACATTTTGGAGCAAATATGCAAAATAGTAAACCAAAACTTGATGCTAATATAGCAAATATCTGCACAGCTACAGTAAATTTTCCAGGAGAACTGACATAAGCTGGGATAAATGTGAGCCAGACAGCACAGAATATGAGCATACTGAATGTGATGAACTTGGCTTCATTGAAGTTATCAGGGAGCTTCCGAGCAAGAAAAGCTAAAACAAAACACATGATTGATAGCAGGCCAGTATAACCCAGAACAGCCCAGAAACCAAGAGCTGAACCTAAGTTACATTCAAGGATGATCTTTTCTCTATAATAGCTCAAATTCATATATGGAAAAGGGGGGGATATTGTTAACCAAAGCACACAGATAATCATCTGTATTAACGTTAAGGAAACAACACTGAGTCGTTGTTGTGCAGGCCCAAACCATTTCATGACATTACTTCCTGGAAGTGTAGCCTTGAAGGCCATTAACACAACTATTGTTTTCCCGAGAACACAGGAGATACAAAGGACAAAAGTGATCCCAAATGCTGTGTGACGCAACATACAGGACCACTCAGTGGGCCGGCCAATAAAAGTAAGTGAACAGAGAAAACACAGTGAGAGCGAGAAAAGCAACAGGAAGCTCAGCTCTGAGTTGTTGGCTCTTACAATAGATGTTTCTTTATGAAGATAAAACAGAAAATATACCATTGCTGTTAATAACACTCCAATAAAGGAAAAAATACAGAACACCATCCCCATGATTTCTGTATAAGACAGGAATTCAACCACTTTTAATACGCATCTGTCTTTCCTTTCATTCGACCAGTACTCCAAATCACAAGGAAAGCAGTCACTAGAATCTGTGAAGAAATTATTCCAATATATAAAAAAGAAATATTAGCGAATGAAAGGTGCATTGTAAATTCACTTGACAAAGAGGACAATATTACACTTAACTTTAACATAATTTCATGAGAGTTATCCCGCATGTACTATTTTACCTGTGCCATTACTGATTTCTCCTTCTGCACATGGAATACAGTCATAACAGCAGACAGGTCGACCTTTTTGCACAGCCTTCCTAGTGCCGGGGGGGCAGGTCTCACTGCACACGGACACAGGCAACTATATGAAATAAGTTGTCATATAAAACCTCACAATGATGATGGTTTGAATTGGTAAAATAACTTATCTTAAATAATAACTTTTATCACTTTCACACATATTCAACTGACTGTTCTTCAGTCACTGTGCATTGTATGATTCAAGCAGTTATTTGATATTAATAATTAACTCTATATGTACCTGTCCACTTTTCTCTGCCCATAGTATGTGTTCCTGATTGACTTGAAGATGTTCTGAAGGCAGTGAGCTGTCATAGAGGCCGACATGCTCAAACTGCATACTTCCATCCTCAGCAGGCTGCCAGTTAACAAGGTCATATCGTGCTACTGGATCACCACTTTCATCAAAAAATATTTCTTCACCTGTTTTAACAGTGAATCTCACATCTCTCATATACTTCAACACCTAAGAAGAAACATCAGGAACATTAGTCCTACATTAAATAGTTTCAGTATAAAACTATGTGTTCCTCATTTACCATTTGTGGTATAGGCCATCCTATTTTGCTGCTGTTGCTGGAGGATCTGAAGTCTTTTAATATGTTATGTAGTGTATATGCGACGGCATACACTGCAGTGTACACCTTATTTACTATTCGTAGCTCTGATATGTCAGTATATTCATTTTGCAGCTCTGCAAGTCTCTCTGAACCAGTACAGCCATTACTGCCAATTTTCCTGAACGAGCACTGAAAAACTATTTCCCAAAATTCTTTTAAAAGTTCATTTTTTGGTTCTTGATCAGGGTGCACATTCACTAGGAACTCTCGCAGGCCCATAATTTTGGCATTTGCTATAGCAAAACCCACAGCTCCAGAAAGGAAACTGTATTCCTTTGTTTCTGCAAGAGTTCGAGAAGTGATCCAGGATTCACTGCCAACCCACTGTATCCCTGTGATGTTGTGTTGCAAAATTACTTTCAGGAGGGGGAGAAAATCTCCTAATGCAATAAAAGCAAGCACAACCCTGGCGGTGCCCTTTTTGATCACCTCCAGTGTCTTCAGAAACTGTTCTTGTGGATCATTGTTTAATATGGCCTCTGAGTATTCAATACAAACCCCCTCTTCTTTTGCAGCCTCCTCAAATACTGCAATTCCATTATTACCATAGTCATTGCGACTCCTAACTGTCCCAACCCAGGTCCAGCCAAAGTTCTTGACAAGCTGAGCCAGAGCTCTGCTTTGGTAATAATCACTGGATATTGTTCTGAAGAAGGATGGATACCTTTTTCTGTCACTCAAGCATGCACATGTGGCAAAATGACTGATCTGTAATATAAAGAAGCAGTGTATAATGTGTTAACCACATAGTTTATCAAAAATACTTTTCAGTTCTTATACCACTAAGTATGCTAATCTACACAGTTCAATACATTGCTTTCTATATTTACAACAGTTTCTTTCCATTTTCAACATCAGATCTGAAGCCTATATTTTCTGTATAAGTTCCAAACGTTCATCATACTCTGATTACACTAACCAGCAGCAGATAAGTAAGTTCTTACAACAGGTAAGCTGAATGGACCAACGACAGATGCCAAGCCAATGGTGGATGAGGATGCTGAATCTCCAACAATGGCATGAACAGCTGGTGGTCTACGGCAGGATGTATCACTCAAAGTGTCTTCATAACCGTTCATCAAAGCCATGCCTGAGAGGATTGTTTGAGTGAAAGAGCGACATGAGTCATATATCTTATAGCCCAAAGAAATACCAGGCAACAACTGTGTGCTGTTATTAATCTCCTCAATGGCAAAAATCAGCGTCTGAGCAAATTTAAACTCGCGCAAGTTTAAGCTGTGGTGAATAAAAGCATCAACTGTATTACATTCTGCAAAGAATCATCAGAGTTATATTTATCAACCTTTTTTGTTGTTTTTTCATCAGTATCATCATACTGACCTGGCGCATGTTGTTGGATCTGGTTTGGAAGTATAATTATGCATTTTTAGTAGAGCATTTCTGTGGATTGAGAAAATCGCCCCAATGTTGATGTCTCTTTCTGCAGAAAGTGAAGGTAAAGCAGGCTGACCAAGCAGGTTGCAGACTTGTGCTGAAGCTGGCACTAAGATGCCATGTACAATGAGCAGCAATACCTGCATTGACACAGTCCTCTTTGCCATGCCAGTATGTATGTGGGACAAGATCCTCTAAGGCAAAACAGTGCTGCCTTTTATTATGTCTGCCTTTTGTCATATCTTCAAAAGTCCTTTGGGGCATATTAAATCCATAACGAACTTTATTGTTTTTGTATTGGTTTTCTCCATCTTTTTATTTTTATTTTTTTTGTCTTTTACACTAAAGTGTCTGGAGAAGAGAAAATGTAAATCGCAGAGACTACACATCTGGTAGCATTTTTCCAAATCTCAACCTCTACTCACACAAATCTTATTGACTAGTAAATGTTGTAGTCAATACAATTACTTAACATTCTATAACATTATTCATAACATAATTATTTATTTATTTATACTGGTTAATATATATATATATATATATATATATATATATACCAGTACTATTGTTTTCA